TTTAACTTTTTAAGAAAACTTTTCATTGAGGTATAATACGTAACACAGATAAGTACAAAGTAAGATAAACTCCCACAATGGGAACAAACCCGTGTAACTGGCAGTGTCACCATGAAAGGGAACATGACCAGGCCCTTGAACGTCTTCGTGCCTCATTCCAGACACCAGTGCCTGCCAGGCTAACTACCACTTGTCTTCGAAAGACCAAAGACTGGCCTGGAAACATACAATATTATAATTTTTTTGTGTCTACTCAATATTATGCTCAATTAATAGTCTAAATTTCGGTAGTTGTTCAAAAATATATACATTCCATTCTCATTCAAACCAGATTCCTAGGTTTTATTTTGTTTAGATTTTTTCCAGCTTAAATTCCATTTGCATCAAAGGAAATTAACACTTCAATATTCAATATATACCCAGTTCTAGCTTCTAGGTCTTTTTTCAGTTCAAGTTCCCAATTCCTAATAAAGGGGAGAAATTTGCAAATAAGAGGGGGAAATGTTTTATTTCACCTAAGATTTCACAAGCCACAAACTTAAAAGTCGTTTTCTATATATAAAATTTATCTTCATGAAAAATAACACATTATTTTCATAAAGGCAGAAGGAACACAGATGTAACAAATTTGAAAATCCTGAATCTTGATTTCCTCCCCTCCCATGTATGTGATAAAGATTTCTGTTATTCTAGGAATATACCTAGGGTAAATGGGAAAGTCAAACAGAAATAGCAGTGGATATGACAAAATATAAGAAATGCACAACAAACTTAACAGGCATTTTTTAAATAACATGTTTCCATATCAAAGTAGCAAGTAAATTGATATGCCAAAATGAAAAAGTATCTCTCAATAATTTGAATTTAATTTTTTGACTGCTTTACCTGATCAGGAATTTTTAAAAATCATAGTTATCAAATAAAAATAAATACACTGTTGGCAAGAATGTAAATGGGTACAGCTAGCTCCTCATTACAGACAATGGTTTGGAGATTCTTCAAAAAACTAAAATCAGAACCACTATATGGTCCAGCTATTCCACTTCTGGGTATTTAGCTAAAGGAAATGAAATGACTACCCAGAAGAGATATCTATACCTGTATGTTCACTGTAGCATTATTCACAACCTAAGTGGCCACAAATGGATGAATGGATACAGAAAACATGTATATACATACATATTATCCGGCCATAAAAAAGGAGTGGGGGAGTGGGGGATCTTGACAACATGGATAAACCTTGAAGGCATCATGCTAAGTGAAACAGACAAAAAAGACAGTTATATGTGGAATCTAAAAACAGCAAATTTATTGAAACAGAGAACAGATTAGTGGTTGCCATGGTGAGGGAGTGGGCAGGTGGGGGAAATGGCAGGAATGGGGTGGAAGGGATCAAAGGGTACACACTTCCAGTTATAAGATGAAAAAGTTCTGGGGATATTATGTGCAGCATGGTGACTGCAGTTAACCATACTGTACTATATGTTTGAAAGTTGTTAAGGGAGTAGATTTTAAAAGTTCTCATCACACACACATACACACACTCACGCAATAGTACTGTTGTGTGGTGATGGGTGTGTTAACTAGCCTTATTGTGGTAATCATTTTGCAATACGCACATATTTAAAATCACTACATTGTACGTCTTCAACAACATTAGATGTCAGTTACACCTCAGTAAAGCTGGGGGGAAAGGGGGAAAAAAAGAGGGGGAAGACATTAATATGCCACCCACAGAAACTTAAGAAATCAATATCCTATGCTAAAGAAGCCCATAAGGGAAAGCTGGCTGCAACACAGTTGTGTAATATATCAATCTGTTACCATGACAGTCATCTCAAAAGTAGAGTAACAGTTGACAGACAACAAAGAAGTTAGATTACACATAGGGACAATATATAATAGAGCCCCACAAGGTTTTTTGTTTTGATTTTTATAACAAGTCTTTTAAATCATTCATCGGCAAATAAATGATTCAACATAGACTTCCATAAGCATTATTCTAACTTTAACATCATTAATCAATCAATAAATGTCTGAAAAGTTTTCAGAAATTTATTCAACAAATATTTAAAAATACATACTATGTGTACTCTACTGTCACAGGTGCCAGAAATTCAATGATAAATAAAAAGCAGACTTTCTGCCTTTGTGGACCTTTGTGGAGGAGACAGGTATTAATCCTAAATAACAGAAATAAATGAAAAATTATTAGTTAGAAGTTCTAGAAGAAAAGAAACATAATGCTATGATGGTGTTTATTAAGGAAACCTGTATAACTTTGGAGAGAAAAGGCAGTAACACTGAAATGGGGGCACTGAGAAAAAGAAAGGAATTCAGTGTGTGTGTGTGTGTGTGTGTACACACAGGGGAGGTGTTCACTAGCCTGAGGCAAAGCCAACTGCAAATGGCCTAAGGCAGGAGGTAACAGGGGCAATAAGTAACTTCAAGTTCCTCAGGCTGAGCTCCTGAAGACAAAATAAAAATAACTCCAGAGATGAAGAACCAGGGCAAAACAGAGCTATTTGTGACCATGCATGAGATTAACTTTAGCTAGTGACAAATTCTAAATAATATCCATTTTCTCAATAAAATCTCATTCTTCTGAGAACAAATAATCTGAAGGACACTGAGAGGTCAAGGTCAGTCTCCTTACCAAAGAGCCATACATCCACTTAACCTGGCAATGTGCAAACCCTAGGCCACAACACTTACCCATCCGAGTAAAGGGGACACCTCATACAAAGTAGTTATGCTCTGAGTGTCACAGAAAACATTCATAGCACTTTTGGTTTTCATAGATTCTTTATAATATATTTAAGTTTCAGGAGAGAACATATCTTTTTCATATTTCACAAAGGTCCTCAGACTTACCAAACAATGTCTGCCTTCATAAATTACTCAGCTCAACTCCAAAAGACTTTAAGAACTCACTGTTTGAAAGTAAGCCCGGAGTGAGATCCCTTCACATACTCTTCCACACTTCAAGCAGGAAGGATTTCTACTATCCAGTAGAAGGTACAAGATGAATGTGCAACAACTCCCAAACCCGTTTCTTCAAAACTGGTTTCTCTTGGGGAGTTAATCAGAAGAAACAGGGCACAACAATCCCATAAGTGGGAAAAAACAGCAGATTTAGTATCTTTTTGTAATGTTACAGAAGTTGCCTGAAGTGCAGAACTTCTCAGGGTCATTAACTATGAATCTCTTACGACACCGACAGTATGTGCAGCACTTCCCACACTATGTTTGACTACAAATATTTGAGGAAAGTATCATCACTGACACAGGAGTAACATTCCCTTGAGAAAGGTAAGCATTCAGTACTGCACAAAGACAGTAAGCCTTTTGACAATAATCCAGACAATCACATTACCACACTGAATTGTTACGTATTATGAGAAAAGGATAACAAATGAGATCTTTCTTTATTTTTAAGTTATGATACTATAATCTATATCTAAAGGAGTTAACACATTCTCATGATTCAAAATTGAATAGGTCTATAGCACATAACATTTGGTAACTGTAATGAGATATTCTTCAGTGACTCAGAAATTCTTACTGTCCAATATCTAAGTCTTTTCAATCACAGACACCAACAATATCGTAACCCACATATTACTAGATCTCCACCGCAGAACTCTAGTTTCCCTAAAACCGAATGCTGATACTTTTGTCACATAAATATCTTCTCAGTTAATCATCAATCAATAAATTGTAGCTGTGACTACAAGTTATCTGTATAAGTTCTAATATTGACTATCTTTTGAAATTCAAAACAAATTCTGAAACAGGGGAAAAAATCTGATACTTTACACAAAGTTCAGAAAAGTTACAGTGCTCCTCAGTAAAACAATTGTACCAGGTCAGTCACATAACCTAATTTCTTGAACCTCCCTTTCCTGGAAGAACAGCAAACTGGGAGGCTCTTAATCTCTTAATTACATCTCATGAAATTCATGTCACTTCTCAGCATAGTAAGTCATTCAAACAAAATAATTTTAGCTAGTTTTACTGCCTCTGTAAGAGAAATACCTTACCATACACAACACATGACATGAGAAAAGCAAAGTTTTGTGGGGCACCTGGGTGGCTCAGTTGGTTGAGCCTCTGACTTGTGATTTCAGCTGGAGTCATAATCTTATGGGCCCTGGGATCCAGCCCCAAGGTGGGCTCAGCAGAGAGTAGGCTTGGGAGTCTCTCTCTCTGCTCCTCCCGACTCATGCTCATGTATGCACTTTCTCTCCCACTCTCTCCTATGCCTCAAATAAATATATAAATCTTTTTCTTTTTTAAAGGAGAAAGTTTTGCAGGTACTTAGTAGGTTCTCAATCACCCGTTTCCCTATATCTCACCTGAAGGCTGGGTCTGTCTCTCTGAACAACGCTATAAACCTCAACACATTGAGTACATAAGCTACAGTACATTTTCTGGAAAACAAAGCAAATTAGTTGTCTTCATCTATTACCACTGGTTAGAGATTCTGAAGCTCAATTTCTTGGAAAAGGAGGTGATCAGGAGAAATAAAGTTTGGTCTAAAGGCCTTTAAAAATACTTCTTTAGCTTCTGGCCACTCCTAAAGCTAATGTGAAACATCCTGCTTATAAGAATCTTAACTAAGGTTTACTTGACCCATCATGTATTCTGTTCCGCAGGGTCACCACTGCCTAATGTTGAAGATAAAGAGCAAGGAGGAAATCAAAAGATGAAATCAACTGAGTAGATGGTGAAGATGGTGAAGGGAGAGGAGAAATAGCACAGGACATAAGGAAAGAACTGACAAATGCACAAACTAGAATAGAAGACAAAGTTGAGGCAGATACAAGCACGAAGCCAACGAATCCAAATGCCCCAAAGTGGGTCAGTGTGTTTCCTACCTTGATTTTTTTTCTACCCAAAACTACTATCTCCTTTTCTGGGCCCCCTCCTTCCCTAATATGGAGAAAGGCATATCAATGCTGATGCCACTTCTCTACCACAAACACTGCGCTCCTTACCTCCTGGTCTGTAGACAACATCATCCTCAGTTATGTAAGAGGTTATCTCCCCAGTGTCTGTCCTTTCATAACGAGATTTTTTTTTCGGTGGCTTCTTTTTGTTCTTCTTCGTGGACTCCTCTGTGGTGGCACTATTGTTGTCATTATCCTCATCTTCACTGTGGTCACTCTCAGCATAATTTTTGGCTCCTCCTTCCAAGGTGCAGCTCCTGCGTGGTCTTGAATTCTCACCCTCTCTTGCTTTATCTCGTTTATCTCTCTCTCGGTCCCGATCTCGGTCCCGGTCCTTCTCTTTGTCTTTGTCTTTGTCTTTGTCAGCTGTCATGATTCGCCACGTGCCTTCTTCTGTCCTCTCACGGCTAGGCCTCCGTGAAAGGTAGACAGTAAGCCTGGGCTTCAGTCTTCTGAATTTCTCACTCAATTCCAGGGAAAATCCAACCACTCCAACTACCCCAACGTTTCAAAAACGCTAAGCAAGAAAAGAGAGACAAACTTATTTTACTTTGACATTTTCTCATTTGCCTTCCTAAAATAATGTTTTGTTAAATGAAATCTCTTACTTACTCATGTTTTAGCCCCCACACTTCTGCTGAACCAGAGGAAAAAAGTTAGGACAAGTGACACAGAGCTTAAGAATATAGTTTTTAGCCTCAGCTAGTACATGGTTTGGGATATACTACCATACCAATAATGAAAACATCTCAATGCATAATAGTAAACCATAACATCAATTGTTTTCTTCTTTTGAAGGAGAAAGTGTACCCTAATATACAACATATAATGGGCACAATTATACAAAAGGAGCTTCATAACCCACAATATTAATTTAAAGGAGTAAGAATCTATATACTTAAACTATTTCCACCTGGGGGAAAAAAAATTGGATAGCCTGGGAAAATGTCTCAAGATCTCTCTCACAAGGTAATATCTTCTGAAGACTCCAGCCACGTCTCCAAATTTCTAGAGTTCCTCTCAGGAATAAACACAAGCTTTGACTCTAAAAGTGATGGCCTCAAAGCAAGATTCTTTTGCCTTCAATTACAATTTAGCACATCTTCTAAGTCTACTAATCTAGTTATCTTCCAGGAAAAATGCTATCTCCAAATTATTTCTGCCTTGACAAAACATAACAGTTTCCAAAAACAACCTTCCATATTTAGGGAATATTAGGTGGTTTTTACATTCTCCCAAATTTCCACTATTAATAACTTCCCTAGTAAACTCCTCTCTAGAACTAAGCCCAACAAGGAAAGACTGAAGCTTTTAAAACTTTTACAAGAGAAGAAAAAATCCTGAATTCCAACCCAACACAATTCTTATGAAAATGTTACAGGGCAAGGGGAGTATGACGAAAGACAGACATGGACTGTTTTCTTTACAAGTCAGTTCTGGAATAGTCATAATTGCCAGTTACTTCTTTTTTGCAGTCCTGTATCATCTTCCCCAACATCTTCTTTCATTTGTTCAACTACCTGTACTAAACACTACCTATGTGCAAGGTGTTTGGAACAAGATACAATGAGAGAAAAACTTCAGCGTCCTTGTCCTCAATGCTCTAATGCCCCAAAAAAGCCCCCAAAAAGCATACTGATCAGTGATCAATATGAAAACCATCTGTTTCTTATGTTACCAGGGTCAAAGAGAAAATGACATATGCAAACAAACAAAAGATTGGTCCTCTTTACTTAGACAACAACAAACAAATCAGCTTGCAATTACATACCTTAAACACAGAGAAAATTCTCTTTTGGTCACGCCAAAACTATAAAAACTATCATATACTCTCTCTAAAGCTCTTAGGTCAAATCAGACACCCAGAAAAGACCTCTCTATAAGTACCTCAAATATCCTTAGGCATTCAAGAAAATACAAAATATTCACAACCACCTATGGGAGACAGACCTATGAAGGATGTCAGTAATGCTGACAATATAAAGCAAAGTCAGAAGGGGGAAAGCATGTAGCACAGATCTAGATTAATTCCTTCTACATAGGAAATATGCTTCTACATAGGATTTCAATTTTCTAAACATATTTCAAGAAAATGAGAAATTATCCTAGTGCCTGCAAAAGTCCTGCCTAGATGAATCATCTGCTAAACAGACAGTAATATACTTCCAAGTCCCTGTAGGCCACTAGTGTTAGCGATTGAAAATACACAAAGTGACATATCACAAAAAAAAAAAAAGAGAGAGAGAGAGAGAGAGAGACATATCACTTTCTCCACTGAGCTTAAGTTTAAGCATGAACAAGCCAATCATGCAAGAAAGAAAACTATCACCTAACACCGTTGTTAAAACATTCCTCTTTGACACCAAAGACACACCAACATCTACTGGGAATCTATTAAGAACAAGAAGTTTAGACTGAAAACCTCTCAGAGCTCAGGGCAGACAACTGATGAATTAAAGAAAAATATCACTCTCCAGGGTTAACAAGATGACCAGAAAATTACATAAGATTATTTCAGCACTCAAAAGGAAATGTTAAGTCCAAATTGTACATTCAACACTACTCCCTGTAAAATCATATACCAGCTTCTATTTGCAAAGAAATTTGAGTTATTTCTGCCAAGAGTAAGCAGGAAAGAAAAATTCAAGAAACAGCAGAAAAGGTATCTACAAAATAAAATCCCGTGTGTGTATCCAACTTTCAGGTAACTAAGAACTGTGATAATCCAAAGCAAAAGTCAACCAATGACCATTTATATTTGGCTCTAAAATATAGTGCAACAAGGATGTATTTTTTTTCCTCTACATTTACCATACTAATCAGAATTTTTCTAAACCACATTATACAATGACCAACATACAATAATGTGACATTTGAGAAAAGGGACCCAGAGAGAAACCAGATGGCACTGAGAAAGGTAGTTGTCACTTCGATTTGCTAGAAATGATCTAATGATACAACAACATTTTTGTTAACAACAAGGGGTTTACAGAGCAGGTTCCTGCCATGATCTCATTCAATTCTTTCTCTCAAGAGCTCAGTGAAGTAAACCAGACAGAAGTCACCAACCCCACTTTATAGACTACAAAAGGGAAACTGAGGAGAAATCATGTGCATGAAGTCATACAGCCAATGGTTCTGCCAAAGGTAAATTCCATCCAATCTGCTTACAATCTACTGCTCAGATCATAATCTGTGCCCCCAGGATCACTAGTTCTCTGTAAGTGCTAACTTTTCCTGCACGCATCCAGGCTGATAATTTGCACACACACAGATTTAGGAAACACACTCACTTTGCCCTTCCCCCTTCAAAAAAAAAATATTTGTCCAGTAACAAAGACAAAAATATTGAAAGTATTTCTGTCGATCCACTGCTCAACCCAGTTAAACAAAAAACAGTATAAGGTACTTATTTTTATGATTTTAAATATTTATTTATTTATTTATTGAGAATGAGCAAGCGCGCACACGCGCATGTGTGCACACAAGTGCAAGCAGAGTAGGACAGAGGGACAGGGAGAGAGAATCCCAAGAAGACTCCACACTAAGCTCAGAGCCCCATACAGAGCCCAATCCTATGGGCCAGTGGATCACAACCTGAGCCAAAATCAAGAGTTGGACGCTTAACAGACTGAACCACCTAGGCACCCCTATAAGATACTTTAATAACAAAAAAAGATCTAATCTAGAACACACTCATATTCACAACAATCTTCATCTATTCACTGAACAAATGTCTATTAAATGCCTACTGTGTACTAGTTACTGCTGTAGGTGTGAGGAAAGCAGCAGAGAAACACACACAAACTTCCCTGCCTTCGTGGAGCTAATGTTCCAGGCAGTGGAAAAAGACCATAATCAAAAGAATGATATGAATATAGTACATGAAGAGATCTTAAATGGGGAATCCAATGGGGGGACACAGAGCATGAGAGGATTGAGATTTTAAATGATGGTGAAGGAAGACCTCAGGCTTTGTCCCAAGCAAGAGTGTCAGAGAAAAAGCCATGACGGCACATGAAGGGAGATCATCCCAGCAGAGAGAGAGTAACTGCAAATGTCCAGAGGCATAAGTGAGTTCAGCACACTCAAGACACAGGAGGCCAAAGGAGCTACAGTGGCATAAGGAAGAGTGAAATGGTGGGAGATGAATTCCTAGAGGTGAAGGGGGCTAGATCCTACCTTACAGGCTAGTGTCAGGTCTCCGGCATCTTTACTCAAGGGGCATGAAGTGACTTGAATGACACTTCAGCCACTGCAGGGATCTGAGTAACAGAGAAAGACATGGTCTGACTTCTGTTTAAGATCACTCTGGCCATTGAGAAAAGACTTAAAGAGATGCAGGGGTTGCAGCATGAAGACCAGTGAGGGAGGAGGCTTACTGCAACATCCCAGGTAAGAGGGGAAGGTAGCTAGGGCGGATCAGTAAGGCAGAAGCAGAGAAGAGTCGTCGTCTTATTTTCTATGTATTTTTAAGATAAGCATCAAAGAGAATGTGCTGACAAACTGGGAAGTGAGGTGTGAGAGAAAGAAGTCAGGAGCAACTCCAAGTGTTCTGGCACGAGCCACTAGATGATGAAATGGGCATTGTGTGAGTTTTGGAAGAAAGATTAGGAGCTCAGGTACTAACAGGCTAAGTTTGAGAATCCTATAAAAACCAAATAAAGATTTTCAAGAGGCAGAGGTCCAGGCTAGAGATAAAAATTTACTTTTTAATTTAATTTTTAAAGCCATGAGATTGAGATCACCAAGGAAGTGAATGTACATAGTTTTTCTGATAAAAATTTTTAAACCCACAAAAACCTTTATTACTCATGCTTGAGTGGAAAGGATATTCAAAACAGACCTACAACTTACTTACATACATTTCCAAAAGCAACACCTCTAGGACTCATAAAACAAAACAAAACAAAACAAAAAAAACAGATATTCCTCTCACTAGTTTCCACATTTATCAGATTGCACTTCATTTTATCTTAACTGGTAAAATCTCTGTTCTCATCTAATCAGAGTCAAAAGCCATCAAGAGTCAATGATCCAGAACTTCTCTTTATAACTTCAGGCTCCTTCACCCTCTGCACATTGTCTGCCTCTTCAAAGTGAAGCCAACAAATGCCCATAAACCCCTCAACACTACTTATCAAAACCAATTCAGATATAAACTGCTAAAATTTCTGTCCTGCTCAGGGCCCAAATCTTACTCTAAGAAAACCATTTCCTGATACTACTGAAGCCGTCCCAGGAGGTGAGGCCCATGACAGAACTGAGCTGAGAAGCCAAGCCCCAAGTTCTTGGCACTGCCATGTGCTGAATTGCCTTGGACAAATCACTCTACCTCTGTTTCTGAATCAGTTTCTCTGCTGTAGAATAGGGGCAATCACTAATCATGTAAAACTGACTACAAATGACAAAAATTCAAAAAGATCCTCTCTGGAATCATGTAAACTCACTTGTCCATGAAAAATTGCCACTTCCTCCTGAGTTCTCACTCCCTGAATTCTAATCATCTCAGTTACT